TCTTGAAATTTAATCGGCAACTGTCCCGCCATGTTTATGATCTTGAAGATAAAAAAAAACAGAAAAATGAATAGTTTATGTTTTGCTTTTGTTATATAAAAAAGACGAGATAGAAATGAAGATTTTTGTGGTCTTAGTTGAGATGTAATCTTATCTTTTAAATACAAATGTGGACGACTGCTAGAAACAAGATAGATAGTAATATTGGATGAGTCATACTTCTTTCTTTTACGCCTCCAACTACTAAAATAATGAGAGATGAGAAAGAATTTTTTTATTCTTTAGATTAGATTTATTGATTCGATTAAAAAACATGTAGAATTTACAATTAAAAATTATTTTTAAATTAAAATTACTATTAAAACTATTTTAAAAATTGGCCACGTAAACTTCCATTAATGATCGTCAATACTATCAACGTTTACTCATCATAACATGTGGCGACATATACTTCTAATATAATAATAGTTTCCATAATAAAGACGAACAATCATAGACTAGTCCATAAATGATTTGGAAAAGAAACTAGATTGAAATGATATTAAAAACTGTTATTTGACTTTGTTTTAGATTATTCGTTTAATTAAAATTTTTCATAATCATGTTTAAAGTAATTATATTTGCTATTGTATGTTTGGCCATTGTTAATGGTAATATACAAGATGATATCAAAGATCATTTATCAGATGCATTACATGAAGGAGAAAAAGTTAAAGTATGTGAAAATTATTCTTAATATTCTATAATAAAATTTTCTTTTCATAGGAAAAAGTAGTTAATGTTGTTCGAGAAGGTGCTGCTCATGCTAAAGTTGCTGCTGATTCAGCTGCTGATACCATCAGTGAAAACGTAGATGTATTAAAAGATAAAGCTGGTAAGTTATAGAATGATGTTAAATTATTTTTCTTATCAATTCAAACTTTTAGCTGAAACACTTAAAGCTGGTCAACATGCAGCTGAAAATGTTCGAGAAGCTGCTGGTAAAAAAGTTGATGAAGCTGTGAAAGCTGGTCATCATGCAGCTGAACATGCTAAAGAAGCTGCTGGCAAAAAACTTGATGAAGCTATGAAAACTGGTGAAGAACTTAAAAAGAAAGCTAGTGGTAGTGTTGAAGATTTGTAAGTTATTTTTAAAACAAAAGAAAATAAATAATCTAGGTCTATTGTTTTTCTCTAGACGAGAAGCAGCCGGTGAAACTGCTAAAGCAGCTAAAAAGGCAGCTGAAAATGTAGCTGAACAAGCTGGAAGTAAATATTATTAATAGTTCTTTTTTTTGTAATTATTATTTAAACAAAATAATTTTTCTTTCATTAAGAACAAGGTGAAAAACTCAAACGTCAAGCAAGTGACACTAGTGACAAAATTAAATCAGCTGCTAAGAATGCTAAAAAACAAGTTGATAAACAAAGTGAAGGTCTTGGTGACAAACTTTTCAGCATTCTTAATGATGTTAAAAATTCAATTTTTGGTAAATATTTGATATTAATAGAATATTGAATTATATATTTATGTTTTAGAAACACTTGGATTAGCATCAAAAGCTGCTGCTGATGTTACTGATCAAGCAAAATCAAAATTTGATGAAGTTTCGGGTAAAGCTAAAAAACAAGCTGAAAAAGCTAAGAAGAAAGTCAAAGAAACAGTTGATCTTTAAATACATTAGTCACTACGAAAAATAACATTACTTATCTCTCAGTATTTCTTTTCTTCTCAGTATTTACTCGTGTTTATTATCCTTGACACTCATTGAAAACAAATTAATCAAGCATTTCTTTTTCACATAATTCCAGCTAACCTTTTTTGTGTGTTTATTCATATTTTACTTTTTTTTTATCGCGCATTGTACCATTCCAGACTTCTTTTTTTTATTATTTCTTGCGCAATACTTCACTATTTTATGTGTGTATATTATTGTTTTTTATACTCGCAGTCACTTAGAGAGAATGACTTCTCAAATACATATATATATATAGACTAGATACTATTCAATATTTTGATGGATTGGATTTGGTTTTTTTTGTGCACATGTGTGTTGTTTCCTCTTGAAAAATAAAAATAAGTAAAAAAAATTGCTTAAAATCGTACTGTTTTATCTTTTGAAAAAAATTCAACTTTTTTTTTATTTTAATTTCAGATTTAGGATAATCAGCGAGTATTACATATCACAATGCAAGCTTTTACAAAAACCATATTATTAATTGTTGTTGCATGTTATGTGTCAAACACATATGCACATAGTAAAACAGTTCAAGATACAGTAGTTGAAAGTGCTACTCATCTCAAGGATAACGTCGTTGAAGGTGCTACACATCTTAAAGATAATGTTGTTGATGGTGTTAAAGTTGGTGCAAAAGTAGCTGCAGATGCTGCTAAAACAGCTGGTTAGTAATTAGTATTTTACTGAAAATGTGTATTCTTTACTATTGTAAACATCTTATTTTTCGTTTTAGGTGAATATATCTCTGATACTGCTTCAGCTAGTGCTCATAAAACTCAAGATGCTTTTAACGAATATGTAAAATAAATAATATTAATATCAATACTTAAAGAAACTCATTTGATATTGTTTGTATAGGTTGCTCCTGTTGCTGCTGATACATATAATGTAGTTAAAGACAAAGTTGTCGAAGCAGCTCATGTTGGTGCCGAAAAAGTTGCCGAAGCAGCTCATGTTGGCGCTGATACATATAACGTAGTTAAAGACAAAGTTGTCGAAGCTGCTCATGTTGGCGCTGAAAAATTTGCCGAAGCAGCCCATGCTGGTGTTGAAAAAACTCAAGAAGTATACAATGAATATGTTGCACCTGTTGCTGCTGATACATATAATGTAGTTAAAGACAAAGTTGTTGAAGCAGCTCATGTTGGTGC